GTCCAGCTTGAGCATGCGTGTGGCTTCGGAGACGGAGGCAGAAGCTGAAAAACCCAAACAGAGGGGAGACCTAGAGAAGGAGCTCCCAGAGAACCAGGAAATGGAATCCAGGAGAAGTGGAAGAATGAGCAGGAATAACACATTTTGAAGAATGCAGACTGACTGTGAGGGGGAACTGGGTGCAGTCACAGGGCACTCGGACCTGGAGGCCCTGAGAAGCTGGGGACCGGCAGTGGGAACGGTAGGCTGCCTGGGGCCAGAGCTTGATGGTGGAGTTGAGGGGTTAGGGTTGGGGTTTTTTGGGGGGTGATCAACAGGCTGGGAAGCAAAAGCTGGGTGCCAAACTGGCTTTGCCACCAAATAGAAGGTCTCTTCCCAGTCCTTACTTTCCCCAGTTGTAAAATGACAGACGTCATCATGATGCTCCCAGGGGACCTTGCTGCTAGGACCCTGGCATAGAGTCTGTGAAGGTCCCAACTTGGGGTGCCTGGGTGGCTCAGTTGGTTAAGCATCTGACTCTTGATTTTGGTCCAGGTCATGATCCTGGGGTCATGGGATCGAGGCCCGCATCGGGCACCACATTGAACGTGGAGCCTGCTTGAGATTCTCTCTCTCACTCTGCCTTCTCTCTCCCCTCCTCATTCTCTCTCTGGAAAAAAAAGAATCCCATCTTATATGGAGCATCGACTCCTTCAGAAAAACTGAAGAGGGCATCAGGCCCTCACACAAGCAACACAAAAGTTTTGCGTAAAAATTCCTAGCTGTTCCTGGATTCCCTTGGATCCCCCCATAGACCTAGGAGTCTGAGGTCCTATCATCCTCATATATAGGGAGCAATCACATCCAACTGCCAGCTAGGAAGCTGTAATAAAGGAAAACCAAGTGCTGGATCCATCTGCATCAGCCACGGCCCCACACAGACCAGCTACTAATGAGTTTTTCTCCTGTTTGCTGATGGAGAACACTTGTAATAAAGTTTAATGTGGAAGAACAAGGTGCATTTAACCAAAGCTGTAAACATCTCTAATTCTATTTAAAACTATAGGGTGCAGTACATTAATACTCAACAATCAGACAGTGAATTGGCATGAAGCTAATCAAGCTGTGTTTATTAGAAAGTAGACACCAAGTCATCTTTTATCAATGACAACAGAAGGAGCCAAAAACTACAGTGGCCACCCCCGCACCCCACCCTATGCATTAATTAAGGGTCTTCCCCCAAATTGCCACCCTACAGAAAGAAGCTGATGGCTTCAGAGAGAATATGCTTAGCAGAGCACACGTGGCTCAGCACCAAAGCCTGTTAGCCTTGTGCACCTGGGGAATTGTTTTCCTCAGCAAAACAAATCATTTTTTACAATGTGAAATGTACAGGGGCACCTGGGTGGCTCAGTTGGTTAAGCATCTGACTTTGGCTCAGGTCATGATCTCACATTTTGTGGGTTCAAGCCCCGTATCAGGCTCTGTGCTGATAGCTTGGAGCCTGGAGCCTGCTTCTGATTCTGTGTCTCCCTCTCTCCCTCTCTGCCCCTCTTCTGCTTGCACTCTTCTCTCTTTTTCTCTCTCCAAAATAAAATAAAATAAATTAAAACGTGAAATGTACAATGAATTCAGAATAAACAAAGGCTCAACCTCTATTCTCTTTGACCCCTGAAGAATTCACACTGCTGAGCCCTTCCTCCTTCGAGAAACTCTCAGACATGGCTTTGTCCAGCCCCTGCCATGCCTCTGATTGCTTCCTCTTCTCTGGCCTCCTTCAAGCTCCTCACCTGCTCCTAGAGATGTCAGCTGGGAGCTCCCCACCCTCAGGCTGCATCACCTTCCCTCTGCATGGGGCTGCCTCTCCCTTGCGAATTTGCACACTGTCAGGGCTCAACTGTGACCTACACTCTGAAGACAGCCCCTAGGGGTCCAGATCCATATTCCCCAATGGTTTACATCCATGCAACTCAAACTGTGGTCCGGATCTAGAAGCATGGGCATTCCCTGGGAGCCTATCAGAAACATTAACTCCCAGGCCCCACCCAGACTTCCTGAATCAGGACCCACAGTTTAACAGGATTGGTGATGTGTTAAAGATTAGGGAGCACTAGTCTATCCTACCCATTTGGACGCTCCACTGTAGCTCCCACTCAACCTGTCCACGCTGAAGGCAGGCCCTTCTTCCAAACTGTGAATTTCTTCTTTGTGTTCCATCCCAGTGAGTGAATAGCTTCTGTCCAGGGTGGAGTGGGGGTGGGATGGGATGGGGAGTCAACATCCCCACCATGTGGCTGTCTCACCTTATAATGGGCTAAACATGACACAGAACTCCCTCCCTCTCCCCAGGAAATACATGGATACTGAAAGACATCATGGAAGTCACCCTAAACACAGAAAGGCTCCCTCCAGTACCCGTGTGATAGGCTCATTTGAATCTCTACCCCTGTGCCCTTCCCCTACTGTCCCCAGTGATGCTTAGTACTACTCCAAGCCTGCTGGTGTCCCTAATCCAAACCTGAGGGTCCCTCTGTCAGGACAATATCAGTCTTGAAGCCTGAGAGTCCCTCTCTATCATGAAGTGTGTCTTCAGGGCCCTGAGAGGCCCTACTCAGTGAGAAGGTGCAGAGCACAGCAAGGGCTCATGGCTACAAGTACATCATGGGACGTGATGTAAGTGGAGTCCTTGGGTAGTGACACTCAGTGCACCTCTTTTGCTTCCTGAGCTGGGAAGGAGCTTTGATGCATGCCGTTGTCAGTCTGAAATCTCTCCTTTGCAACATGATGAGCTTGAACAAAACAAGGATTTCGATGGAAGGAAAATGGGGCAGTTAATTGAATCAAAAAGGTCTGAAGGAAAGAGAAAAGTCTAAGGACTTTGGGGTCTGGGAACTTGGATGCTGTACTTCCAAGCCATTTTCCTCCCTGCTTCTCAGAGTATCCTTCATTTTTCAAGGCTTCTCTACTTGCCAGAGACATGGCTGGAGACAGATCTGATATGTAGCATCCCAGCTTCGTTCCCCAAGGAAAAAATGACTGATTTCTCCCAAGGATTCGGACTAGCCCAGACGAGGCCGCATGCGTGCTTTGGACCATTTTGTGTGTGTGTGTGTGTGTGGCCTGGAGCATGAACCCATTTCTTGGCCCACCCTTGTTGCAGTCATGCATATCAGAGGCTGAGTGATGAACAAGGGCATGAATAGTCCCTAAAAGCATCAACTGGCTTAGTGGTCTTATCCCAAGTGAGTCTTTGGGTTCATTGATGTGTGGGATGGCCCAGATGACTATGCACTAAAAACTACCAAGTGCCCCAATGTCATTTTCACTTCAGCAAATATCAGGAGGGGGAGGTCTGGCTTTTTCTGACTTGCCCTGTGAACTAACGGGATCACAATGCTTCAATGAAGACATGATCACAAAAAAATCCCAACCCTTTCTCCCCAACACCGCTGCTTTAGTTCAGGGCTTGGAGATGACCTTTTTCACTGCCTTCCTTCCTGCCATGGTTCCGTGCCATGCCTGACCTAGGTCAAAATTCACCACCAAACCTGGAAGTGTCTACTGACCAATGGGTTCTTACTTGGCTTCACGTACAAGCAATTGTCCCTTTTGAAAACTGCTTATATGTAGTTGTTTCAATAGATTCCTGATTGTAAAAACAAGATGAACTTTCCCTAATTTCTAGTGGAATGAAATGTTTCCCCTTGCTTATCTTTAGAAATAAATGTTAAGGCATGGTTAGTGGTTTCTTTGATAGAGAATAATTCACCCATTTTTTAAAAGATTTCTATGACAATAACTTCAAGATTTATCACTGCAAATAAGCACTGGGGACAGATCATCCATTGCTTCTAGCTGTGAGCAGAACTTGGATGTTCTGCTTCTGGACATAATGGCAGGATGAGCTCTGCTTGGATGTTGACAGTAGCTTCCAAGATTCCCTTGGGAAGCATTTTCAGTAGGAGGTGATGGTCTCGCAGGCTTTTATACTCGATGTCCAGCTGGCCCCCCAGTCACACAGCATAGTGTGGATTCGTGCAGCTATGAGCAGAATTTCGGAGAGAACGTCTTGAGTTGAATCTATAGCAATGACTTGTTACAGTAACTTGCAGTTCCAGCTCTTCTTAGTGGAATGCGTTTCTTTCCACACGTGATGGCCCTCAGCTGTCACTGAATTTAAGAAGATGGGCTTGAGGGTGACTGAAGTTCAGCTCAGTTCTGCAGTAGCCTGGGCCCCTCTCCCCGCTTGCCTCTCCCCACAATCTCCTCTTCACACACCCAACTCTCCATCCCCACCTGGTATCCCTGGGACCCACTAGCCCATATGCTTCCTTGTGCAAATGAAGAAATCACCCTCTACCTCAAAACGTCATAGAACCACATTCTGTTGGAATATTGCCATGCTATAAAATAGGATATACTGCTCAGGATAACTAGGACATGAACTGTGTGCCAACCACATAGTTTCCTCTCCTAAAGAACGCTCTGAAAGTTCCAGCCAATTCTTCCAAGTGGTAATTCTTCCTGTATGGTTTATTCACTATCTTTGAAATCTGGCAGGCAGGAAGGGAACAAGACGCAAGGTGTAGAGCAGAGAGACTGACTTCCACTTTGTAGAGTCAGGCTATTTCTGCTTCAAGAAGATCTACCTGCTTTCAATTTGGACCCTTTCCAATAAACCACAAGAGGTACTCATAAGCTATCATGGGTCTCTGAGAGTGTTACTGTGGAGCTAAGTTCATGGACAAACACTTATTTTTGAAGCTATTGTGGCGAAAGCCCTAAACTGTAAAGAAATTTTCATCTTGAAAATACGTACTGGTTGTCACATGAATGTTAACACAATGCAGTGTGAAGCAACTTTATAGTATACAGAATCTTCTAGTTTTCATCATCCCATTACAAGAATTCTATGAGAGGTTAAGTTACCTGAATATAAACATGAGTCTGAGATAATTAGGGAACAAGAACCTTGACTAAGTTCACATAACTATACAGAAGGGCACAACTCACGCTCAAGGTTATGTGTAGAATATATAATTTACCATATATACACCATCCATTACAAAGCCAAACAATTTCTGCAGTGTGCAGTGAATAGCCACCCAGAGTGCATCCACATGAGAACCATTTCTTCTAGACACACTCTCTTCTAGAATGTCTCCGTCTCCAGTGAGTCCCTTGATGTTGTACCAGTCCCGCAGAGCAACTTCCACACAGATGCATATGCCCTGCATCCCTGCCTGACCCCAGCCCAGACACATCAGAAATCACATGCGAGGCTGAGTAGACGAGGCGCGTTGCGACAGGAGGGTCTTTAAAACACATTTTCCCGACTCGGCTTGCACTTCCTAGTCTCCTCCTCGAGGGAAACCAGGCACAAAACTTTGCTCACACATGAGAGGACATTCAGTGAGAGCTGGGAACCTCGACACAGCTCCGAATGGCTCATTTCCTCCAGTGTGTCAATGGATGGATAAATCCCTTCTTGGGAAAAGAGCAGAACTTCTTGGAGGAGGTAAGTTTCTATGCCAATGTAGGTGCACCGTGATGAAGGGGTGGGAGTCCTTTAGAATGGTGCCTTCTACTTGTCCTACAGCCTTGGGTGATCACAGGCGGGGAGATGGGCACTGGGGTATTTACAGACAGTTGACTGTTAGCTTAGACATCAAAGTGCCCCACACTCTGCCACCCTTAAATCACCAGGGTCAAGTGCACCTATTTAAAACAAGAGATGCTATCTTGAGTGACCATTTGCAATGAGCAGTCCACTCTGCTCTAGGTGCCCTAGAAACATTCTCTGACTTTTTGAAAACCATTTAGTACATATCTGCCATCTCACACATGTTGGCCTATAATGGTATTTCTTCTAGCTATATGCTATGAGCTTGATATCACAAATACAGGAAGAACAGAAGATTAAAATAAGATTTTTTTTTCAAAGATTAAAACCCAAAGAAAGAAGAAGAAAATATGAAGGACTGTGGCTCAGCAGAAAAATCTCCTTGGGTACTCTCAGAATCAGAGTCCACACTTCTCAGGGCTCAGACCCAGAATATCTTGTCCGGGGAGACTCATCCGAGGTCTCTGGCCCCTAATCTTTTGTGGAGAGGAGCCTCGTACCTGTGCCTCATACTTCTCCTCAAAGGCACCCGGAACGCTGTTGGAAAGGGGCTCGCCACCACGCAGAAGGCATGAGGGAAAATACAAAAATAAGGACTTTGTTTCCAAAGTATCATAAATAACTGGGATGGCAGGCATTAAATAGGACCACGGAAGAGGCCACCAAGTTACAACTTGTTCTCCTCAAAGAGGATCTGGGCATAGACAGTGCTGGTGGGGAGGCCTTTGGCGGCCCGGTGGGGTTTGACCAGCTCCAGCTCGGCGTAGGTCAGGTTCTCCTCAGCAATCTTTGGCTGGAAGACAAAACACAAAACAATTCCAGCTGGTCACAGGGAGTCCCGCATCATATATTCATTCATCGGGTGTGCATTTTCATCGTGTGCTGGGGACCCAGAGGGGAACACATGGACAAAAATTTTCCAAAGATATATAAAAAGTAAACCACATAACAATATAGATCTCATCGTCTTGTAAAGGACATTATGCCATGTAAAGAGCCACTATGGGGGCGCCTGGGTGGCTCAGTCGGTTAAGCGTCTGACTTTGGCTCAGGTCATGATCTTGCGGTTCGTGGGTTTGAGCCCCACATCGGGTTCTGTGCTGGCAGCTCAGAGCCGGGAACCTGTTTCAGATTCTGTGTCTCCGACTCTCTCTGCTCCTCCCCTGCTCATGCTCTGTCTCTCTCTGTCTCTAAAATAAACTATATAAAAAATTTTTAAAGGGCCACTATGATTAATACTTTTTAAAATATATTTTTAAAATTTATTTATTTATTTTGAGAGAAGAGAGAGAGCGAGAACATGAGAAAGGTAGAGAAAGAGTGTGAGAGGGGCAGAAAGAGAGGGAGGGAGATAGACAGAATCCCAAGTAGGCTCCACACTAGCAGCATACAGCCCAACATGGGGCTCCAACTCATGAACCTGGAGATCGTGAGCTGGGTGGAAACCAAGAGTTTCAGGCTCAACCGACTGAGCCACCCAGGTGCCCCTCACTCTGATTTATTCTTAAGTCACCATAGAACACCAACAAAAAAATGATTAAACATTAGGTCACAAAGTAAACTTTAATTCTGAAAAGTAAAAATAATGTAACTAACAGTTTCTGACCAAAAGAAAAAATAAAGACAGATACAGAAACAAAGAATTCTAGAAATTAATAACAAAATTAGAATGGACATTTTTCTTGAATGACTTAACTTGTATAAAGCAAAAGTTTTGGACTATCTTGATATTAATGAAAAAAGAAAATATTACTTACCAGAGCCCAAAGAATGAAGTACTCATAGATAAATCATAGTCTTAAATATTTATATTAGTATTATGAATTAAATGAATCAAACATTCAATTGAAGAAGTTAGAAAAGAACAAAATAAATGGAAAAAAAAAAAGACAGACCAATAAAATTAAAACCAGACTCTATGAATCAGAAAGCAGAAAAACAGGGGCTCCTGGATGGCTCAGTCAGTTAAGTATCTGACTCTTGATTTCAGCTCAGGTCATGATCCCAGGTTTGTGGGATCAAGGCCCACATTGAGCTCCATGCTGGGTGTGGAGCCTGCTTAAGATTTTCTCTCTCCATCCCCTTCTGCCCCTCCTCCCCTCAAAGGAAAACAAAGAAGCAGAAAAACAGTAGTATTATAAAAATACCCAAAAGCCTGTGCTTGGAAAACTCCAATAAAACAAATAAACTGAAAAATAATTAAAAGATAAAAAGCACAAGTGAATAAAATAGGAAATGAGGAAGAGGTTATGATGTAAATAAAAGAAAGTTTTAGTTAAAAAATCCTACTTTGCTCAACTCATTGCGCCAAATTATGAAATACAGGATAAAGTGGGTAATGTTCCAAAAATATAAATTATAAATATTAATCCCAGAAAATATGGATGTAGTAATTATCATCAAAAATAGAAGGAAAGGAAAGGAAAGAAATAAGGAGGGAGGGGAAAAAGGAAGAAAGAAAATATTGTCAAAGAGTTCTTTCTTAAAAACACCAGGCCCAGGCAGTTTTATAGGAGACTTTCTAAAAGGAATTCCTTTCAGGAAAAAATAATTCCAGTGTAATTAAATTGATCCAGAGCATTAAAAGAAGAAGAAAAACTTCATGTATTTTAATTTTTTAAATTTCATTTTTATTTTAGAGAGACAGAGTGGGGGAGAGAGGCAGAGGGAGAGAGAGAGAGAGAGATAGAATCTCAAGCAGTCCCCGTGCTCAGTGCAGAGCTTGACATGTGGCTTGATTCTACAACCCTTGGATCATGACCTGAGATGAAATCAAGAGTTGGACATTCAACATACGGAGTCACCCAGATGTCTCTTCATGTATTTGAAAACAAACTAATTTATTAATGTAAATTTTAAATCAGATTTACTCAGAATGAGGAAGCAGATTAAAAAATAGATAACCAATGTTCCAGGAATGCAAAGATGGTTCAATATTAGAAAAATCTATCAATATATTCCACTATGGCAATAGATGCAATACACACACACACACACACACACACACACGATTATCACTATAGATGCTGAAAAGGCATTTAATAAAATTAAAAAGAAAAATTTTTGTGAAAAACAACTTTTGAATAAAGGAGTCATCCGTATATATTTTCTTGCCATGATTAAGGAACATTATTAAAACAAAGAGTAATTGGTGGATTATTATGGAGCGAGCCATGTCAGGATCATGGCAGTGTGAATCATTCCTTTTTTCTTTCCCTTTCAGTTTACAACTAATTGGACATCCATAACTGAGAAGGAAAGTTCCTCTGCACAACATACCGAAGGACACCCAAGAGATCTGTCCATCTGTGCACTCAAAAGCGGGTGGACCGGACTGTAGAGGAGGCTGCAGAGGGAGGGGGGTGGTGGTGGAGCCAGCAGTGGCATTAGCAGTGGTGGCAGAGAAGGTATGGGCAGGCCAGCAACCAGCCAGCACCACCTTTCCGTCACAGGAGGTAGAGGGTGAAGGCAGTGAGTGGGGGCCTGCCTGGCCCTGTGCATTACAGCTGCAGAGACCAGTTGCTCTCTCCGAGGAGAGACCACAGTGACTGGGGACAGGAAAAGGAACTGAAGGAATGTGTGTCCTGCTGTCTGCTCCAGAAGACAAGAGGGCCAACCAACACCACATCAGGATCCCCCTACGTAGCAGTGGGCCCACCCAAAGCCCAAAGCACTATGTACATCTTCCCTCTTCACTCCTGCTCTGCCCCCCTACCTATGCTTTTTTCTAAAGCTCATAGTGCTCCCAACCTTAGCAGCCAGTCAGCATCCTTAACAGAAGGCAAAAACTTGTGCTATAGCGCCACCTTCTGGAAAACAAAAGGAAGGCTTCTAACTACCAACCTGTTGAACTGTTAGAATCAGTTAACAAAACCTCACCTGCATGAAACAAGGTGTTCGCTACTTCAAATGCAGTGGCGGAACCACTTCTCATCAAATACCATGAAAAATCATAGTACTATGTAAAAGATCACAGTGATATCTAAAAAATCACAGTAATATGGTATCAGAAAAATAAAATGACAATTTTCCAGCAACCAAACCCAAAGACATGGAATACTGTAATCTAACTGATCATTCAAAATACTTGTAAAGAAGTTCAAAAGCCACAAGAAAACTCAGGAGGACAATACAGTGATTTCAGTAATCAAACTAATGAACAGAAGGCATACTTTACCAAAGAGAGTGAAATTCCAAGACAGAATGAAACAGAATTCTGGAGCTGAAGGACTGAATAAATGAAAGGAAAGATGCATTAGAACATATTGGAAACAAAGCAGATAAAAAGGAAGAGTGAATTAGTAAGCTCAAGGACAGAAATATAGAAATGATTCAGGTGGAAGAGGAGAGAGAGCTGACATTTTTAAATAGTGAGGAAACTCTATGTGAATGATCTTAGTCCATTAGAAAAGCCAACATGAGGGGTGTCTGGGTGGCTCACTCAGTTAAGCATCTGACTTCGGTTTGGGTCATGGTCTCACGGGTCATGAGTTCAAGCCCTGCATTGAGTTCTCTGCTATCAGCACAGAGCCCACTTCAGATCCTCTGTGCCCCTCCTCCACTTGTTCTCTCTCTCTCTCAAAATAAGAATTCAAAAAAAAATTTAAAAAAGAAAAGCCAACATTATAGGTATCCCAAAAGGAGGAGGGAGGGGAAGGGAAGAGAGCCTACTTAAAGAAATAATAGCCAAGAACGTTCTAGTCCTGAAGAAAGAACTGGGTATACAAGTCCACAAAGTTAATAGAACACCTTATTATCTCAATGCAAAAATACTCTCTCCAAGCCACATTATAGTAAAACTGTCAAAAGTCAACAATAAAGAATTTTAAAGGCAGCCAAGGGAGGAAAAAGATAGTAACCTAAAAAAGTACTCCTGTTAGGGTATCAGCAGATTTCTCAGCAGAAACTTCATCCCAGGAGAGAGAGGAATAACATATATAGGAAGATATAGATTGACAGAAAACTGTCAACCAAGAATATCTGGCAAATTATCCTTCAAAAATGAAGGAGAAATAAAGGCTTTCTCAGATAAACAAAAGCTGAGAGAGTTCACCACCACTAGACCTGCCTTACAAGAAATGTTGAAAGGTGGTCCTCAAGCTGAAATTTAAAAAAAGAAAGTGCACAAAACTATGATTAAGTGGATAAACAATTAGAATATGGTAACTCTTCTTTAAAATAATATATTAAACTCTTAACTATAGCATAAAGTTTAAAGGAAAAGAGCATTAAAAATAATGGTAACAACTTGGTAACAAAATCACAGTATAAAAAGAGATAATTTGTGACATCAAAAATATAGAAGGGGAAGAATAAAAGGATGAAACTTTTATAGGCAAATGAAGATAAATTGCTACCAGCAGAAAAAGGACTATTTTATCTATGAAATGTTTTGTGTAAACCCCATGGTAACTACAAAGCAAATATCTAGAGCATAGACACAAAACGTCAAAAAGGGGGGAGAGGGGCAGACTGTGCCAATGACCATGAAAAACTAGCTACTTACAAAGGTAGACAGAATCAGAAGGAAAAAGGAAACATTAGAGAGACAAAATAATCAGAAGGCAAAAGATAAAATGTAGTAAACTTGCATATCAATAATCACCATAAATGTAAATGGATTAAACTCACCAATCACAAGGCACAAAGTGTCTGGACAGATTAAAAAAAATAAGACCCAATTATATGCTGCTTATAGAAGACTCATTTCAGCTCTATAGACACAAATAGGCTCAAAGTGAAAGAATGGAAGATATTTCAAGCAGGCAAAAATAAAAAATTAAGTACAGCCAT